TATTAAAGAGACCACGAACATGAGTTTGCAGGAGCTGGGCAGAGCAGTGGAGGATGGGTTGGAGATCTCGCATCCATAGGCTCTCCATGAGTTGAGACTGATGTGAAGGGAGTTAACAACAACAAACCTGATCCGGTTTAAAATTTAAAGCATGTGGCATCCTGATATTATCAAAAGGATTTAGCCCCCAAATCCACCGCCCAGCTCCATCCCCGCTCACAGGGGCGCTTTGATGGCCATTTCCTTAAGCCGGGAAAACTCCCAGCTTCAAAAAGAGGCACACTGAGCGCCCCTGGAAGCGGAGATGGACTTGGGATGGACCCGGGCGGCAATTTTGGCGGCTAAATCCTTCTGATAAGATCAAGATGCTGCCCACTTTAAATTTTAAACTGAATCAGGTAAGTCGTATTATTTAAGAATGCGATAAGCTTCAAGGTCAAAGACCAGATACAGTGGAGATTATTAGACAAGGGAAAATCGGGGAAGAAAAAGGCATGCTCCTGCGATAATTGCGCCATCATGCTGAAGATTTTCAGATGATGTTGTGCTTATCCAGGACTTATCCTGGGAAGAGCCAAGAATGCTCCAGCAACATTCCCCATGAATGGTTTGTTGCTGGAGATTTTCTGGAACTTCATAGGAGAAGTCCTGGGTAAGCACAATGTGTCTGAAAATCTTCAGTGTGATTGTGCAACTTTGCCAGGAGTATGCCTTTAACTCCTGGCTTTTTTTCCAGGTCTGAAAATCTCCATACATAAGTAAAGCCCACAGCCCAGGGTGACCAGATGTCCTCACCATAAAGGAGGAGAAGACACTGTAAAACATGGGACATGCAGGAAAAAAGGGAAGGATATGACCAAAGAAAAAGCTAAAAACACTCCTAGAAAGAGAAATTCACACTTCTTAGTCCTGCTCAGAATGGAGGACGTTTTGGAATTCCTCCTGGACAGAAGTTTGAAATGGAGGACATGAAAAGGAGGAGGACGTCTGGTCACCCTGCCACAGCCACAATGTTCACATTGCCTCAAAGGCAATTGTTTTTCAGTAGGGCTGAAACACATCCACTTGGGAGTCATTGTAGGTGGGTAAGGCAAGGTCCATAGCCAGTATGGCATAGTGGTTTGAGTGTTGGACTGTGACTCTGGAGACCAGGGTTCAATTTCCACTCAGGCATGAAACCCACTGGGTGACCTTGGACAATCAACATGCTCTCAGCCTCAAGTGAAGTCAATGGCAAACCTTCTCTGAACAAATCTTGCCAAAAAAACCCTGTAGTAGGTTTGCCTTTGGGTCGCTATAAGTCAGAAACAACTTGAAGGGCCAGCTTTTCTATTAGCTAGAGTTGAGTGTTTCAGGTAGACTGCTTCCAGGGTCCTACAGATGCAGCAAATTGTTTGCTTTTGCTGTTGTCATTGTATTTTTACCGCTAGGGATAGGTGACAGTGAAATTTACAGTTTCATAAAATCATAAAGTTGGAAATGACCTCATGGGCTACCTAGTCTAACAGCACTATGAAGGAATACACAACTATAGTACTTCTGAAATAAGGCAATACAATGTATGTTTAAAGATCTCCAAAGAAAGAGTGTACAGTATACCACTCTTCAAGGCAGTCTGTTCAACTGTCAAACAGCTTCTTGACTTTTAGGTGGAATCTCTTGATATGTGCCAAAATAACTTATTTTGTCTGGCTTTCAGTGTTATTCACCTTGACTTGGGTGGGCGCTAGATATGTTTACTCCAGTGCCTTAGACAGCAAAATGTCTTGGGCTGGTTCTGAGGAGTTGCTCAGGTGCACCTTTTGTGTAGAAGAAAGGTGTGACATTGGGTAGTAGGGGTACCTGTACATTTGTGCATCACCAGTGTATGTATATGCATTGTGTACACAAGGGACCATGCATACAGAGGAATGCTCATACTGCTTCTTCACATGAAAGTGAACCCTGACCAGTTATGGTTCCAGTTCATAAGGAAGATGCCTCCATTCCTACATCAAGTTGCATAGGGCTTTTTCACACTGGCCCTAAAAATGTGGTGGCCAATGTGCATGTTGCCATGGAGGGGATATGGCTACTGAGTGTAATCCTGTGAGTCCTCACCCCACAATGTTAAGTGAGTATGTTTGTTTGTGAGGATGTATTCTGAACTCTCCTATCAAGTACCCAAATCAGTGGAGAGAAATAAGTGTTGTACATGTGAAACAGAACACTGATTAGATTTATTTCCAATCCTTGCCTCATGAGTTTGTTACCCCCCCTTCATAAGCTGGATGTATCTTTAGGCAAGTTATTCCACTGACTAGATAGTAGCAAGGGATAGTATATAAAGTATGATACATATTTAAAAGGGATAAGTGGGAAGATACGGGTCATTGTAAGCACTTAAACCTGTCACTTTGTCTGAATGATGAGGCTTTCAGCTGGTGAAATCATGAAAACCAATGTGAGATTAAGGCTCTGTGAAGGTCTGGTTCAGATCACAATTGAGGTAACATGATTGAATGATGCTGGATTAGACACTGTATTTCATTGTAACCTACTTCACAGAGTTTTTGAGAGCTTAAAGGACACTTAAGTGGGTGGGGGGAGAGAGTCATGTATGTGGTCCTGTGCTCCATGAAAGAAGGGCAAGACATATATGTAGTAAATAAAGAAAAAAATTATTTGATAAAATTTCCTACCACCACATAGGCTCCCTCTCCCTTTTGCTAATCCTCAAAAATCAATATTAGCCAATAATTTAGATTTTATACCAATTCCAGCTTTTCCCCAGCGTATTTTATTCAAACAGACAAGCTAGACTGTGCATCTGAGGAAATAGACCAAGTCTATTAAAGCTTATGCTACACTTCTTTCACACACTTGTCTCCAAGGTGCTACAAGATCCCTTTGTATACTGATTTTCCAGACTAAGACAGCTATGTCTCTGAATTCTAGACAAAATTTAGACAAAGGTATTTAGCGAGTAACAACATCAGCAACACAAAGTGTGATTTATTCAGGCTGATTTTCAGACAATAGTCTTTTTATATGATTGGTTCAAATTAGATGTTTTATTTAAAAACTGTAGCTTGTACCAGTCAGATTTTCCTGAAAAGGCATCTTTCTAAAATATATGAATAGAAAAGCAGAATATTTTTTTGAGCATAAGTACCCATATTTGTTGTAGTGATGATTTTGAAATGTGCTCAAGAAGCTTTCCTGTTCTTGATGATGAGGTCATATGAATTTCTTGTCCATCTGATTCTCTTTCCTGGAAATGTAAAGGCTAATATTTGGTGTGGTGCCATTCTTGAGGTCCAAGACATCAGAAAGATGTGCTAGATAGCTAATTGGATCTTATGTCTCTTTTATTTCATCTGCATCAACATTGAGGGAAATGTTGTGTCTATGAGAGAGAAATTAGACAATACTGATGGACAGTTATGATAGATGGGTAGGCCCTGACCCTGACTATTTTCAAAATAAACGAAAAAGACATGGGAGAACCAGCCATAGACTTCTACTCTCTTGTCTAGCTTAGATTTATATCACCTGAAGAGGTAGGCACCATCATTTGATGGAGTGTATTTTTTGGAATGCCTGAATAACCTCCAGAAATTCTTGTCTCTTGGGATTTCATACAGAAATAGCTGCATAATTATCATAATGTGATGGAATACTGTTTTTGACAGCTTGCCCCTCAAAATATTTTCCATTTCAGTTTGAAAGTTAGCATAGTGAAAACATAAATGCAAATATAATATCTTAGTAGACCCAAGTAGACTCTGGAATACCTGAATCACTGTGTCCAGGAAACCAGGTGAAAGTCACATATATCTCCGTTCACAGTTGTGGCTGGCTATGTTAACCAAGCCAAATTTTGTGGTTGCCCAACATTGTGCTGGCAACTTAGATGATGTCAAAAAGTTTGTTGGTTTGGTTGATGCAGTTCAAGTCACTCTGTGTGCCTTGACAGTAGTCCACCAAATATTCTTTCCTTAGCTTCTTTGAACATCCTTTCTTGAGGAAGAAAGTGTGTATTGTAAATGTTACTATAAATAAAGAAATAAATGATCTCCCTGTCCCAAGTTAGGGAGGGCAGGATCACTGTGTGGTTCCTAAAGTGATCCCTGTCCTCCTCTGCATCTCCCAGTTGATGGGGAAGGAGGCTGGAACTTGTCCTTCTTGCTAGCCGGCTAAATCATATGTGCTGTGATAAACATGGCAAGTGGAAATAGATAGAAATCTTTTTTTTTTTGGTTGCTTGATATACTGCTGGCATTTGGAGTACTAAATGGACCACTATTATTGTTGTGTGTCTTCAAGTGGTTTCTGACTTATGGTACACTAAAGCAACTCTAGGATGGGGTTTTCTTGGTACGTTTCTTCAGAGGAAGTTTGCCATTGCCATCTTCTGAGGCTGAGAGAGAATGACTTGCCCAGGGCTACCCAGTGCGTTTCATGACTGAATGAGTATTCAAACCCTGTTCTACAGAGTCATAGTCCAATGCTCAAACCACTACTCCACACTACCATTAGGGCACAGCAAAACCAAAGTATCCAAAAGCCATCATGTTTAAATCCAAGTCATGGGCACACCTTCAAACATATGCTGTTTGGTCTGAATTGTGATACCATTCAGATCTTGATGTCTGAAGATATTTCCCTAATGAAGGGAAAGTGTTACATTTCTTTTTGAACACTCTGGAAAATTTCAGGTTGTGGTATGTGTTTCTACCTGTAGGGATGACTAAAAACTAAATGGTTTTGTTTTCTCTTTCTGTTATGTCATTAGACTCACTTATGTTTTCTTGCTGGAATGGGATCATCTAGTTCAGCCTTACCCAAACTAATGATCTCAGATGTGTTGGACTATTAATAGCAATATCCCTAACCATCATGACCAATGACCATTCTGCTTGGGGGTGTTCATCAAGTTGATGAAGGCTGACATAACTCCTATCCTTAAATGTGGGAAGGGGTTCCTTGTTCTGACAGTTGATAAAAGTGGTGACTGTAATAGGAGACAGTAAGCATGGTTTTGTCTTTTCCTGCTCTGATGGTCTTGTACACCATGGTGGTTCCCCCCCCAACTATAGTTTAAAGTTTCTCTTGTTATTAGGACATAAAATACTGCTTTGCATGATCTTGTTTGTCATTTCCTCAATCAGACACATTTTGCTCACATTTTATTAAATGTGTTGGGATCTGATTTTAAAGTTTGAGCAATGGGCAATACCATGAGTACAATTATACTTCAGTTAATAAAATAGGTTATTTAACTAATAGGTTCCTTCTTTAACTGAAAATTTGGTACCAGAGGCAAAACTAGCTTGAACAGACAAGGGATTGGTTTATCCACCACAGAAAAGGGACATTCAATATATTTCAACAAACATTTTATTCAAAAGTAACAATATGCACATGGGAAATGAAACAACCAGGTCAGGTAAGCCTTGTGTAAGTAAACAAAAACATTTTGAACCTACTAGAGACAATTTGATGGCTTCTTCCAAAACGCACACAGGAATGACTTTTTCTCTCACCCGCCTCCACTTAGTAATTCCATTTTTGTTGGCCAATCCTGTTGTTGTTGCGTACTTCAAGCCTTTTGGCTTATGGTGACCCTAAGGAGAGCCTATTACAGGGTTTTCTTGACAGAATTTGTTCAGAGAGGATTTGTCCTTGCCTTCTTCTGAGGCTGAGAGCGTGACTTGCTGAAGGTCAGTGGGTTAATATGGCTGAGTGAGGATTTGAACCCTGGTCTCCCAGTTTCCTGGCCCAACATTCAGACCACTATACCACTGACTGTCAGGACAAACTTACAGATCTTTGGTTTTTATTAACATGCTGGGGGGGGGGGAAAGCTGGTGAGGCAGACTGATCTATTATCCTTTTTCCTCTTTGATTTGCTTTTCATATAAACTTATTTAGGGATTCTGGAAGCAGCTGCTTCTTACCTTGCCTGTACTGTATTTCAGCAATCTCAGTTGGAATTGCTATTATTTGTTCATTTATTCAATCATTTTAAATCTGCCCGTTCTCCTTAAGAGATACCAAAGCAGTGCAGAACTATACTTAAAACCAGTATTCTCTTGGCACTTTCTGGTTGTATTGGATTTCAATTCATATCATCTCTAGCCAGTAGGGCTGGCTGGGGATGGTGGAACTGTAATCCAGCATAGCCAGGG